GTAGTAGTAGTAGTAGTAGTAGTAGTAGTAGTAGTAGTAGTGGTAGTGGTAGTAGTAGTAATAGTAGTAGCAGTGGCAGCAGCAGTAGACGTATTAGTAGTAGTAGTATAGCAGTAGTAGTATTAGTTTTAGCAGTTTTAGTAGTAGTCGTGGTACTCGTAGTAGTCGTAGTAGGAGTCAGTATAGTAAGTAGTAGTAGTAGTCGTAGTAGTAGTAGTAGTAGTAGTAGTAGTAGTAGTAGTAGTAGTAGTAGTAGTAGTAGTAGTAGTAGTAGTAGTAGTAGTAGTAGTAGTAGTAGTAGAGTAGCAGTAGCAGTAGCAGTAGCAGTAGCAGTAGCAGTAGTATTAGTAGCAGCAGCAGCAGAAGCAGTAGTGCAAGGAGGAGGTGGAGGAAGAGGAGGAATACCAGGAGCAGGGGGAGGAGGAGGAGGGAGAAGAGGAGGAGGAGGAGAAGGAGGATGAGGAGGAGGAGGAAACTGAGGAAGAGGAGGAGGAGGAGGCAGGCGGAGGCAGAAGGCAGGCTGGGAGGGAGGCAGAGCAGGATCGGATAGGATCGGATCAGGTCGGATACAAGAGGGTCGTCGCCAACTTGCTTGGGAAAGGCGAATGCAGCAGTGGGAAGCAAACGCATGCGACAGCTGTAGTCATCTACGGGTGATCAACATTCGTTGGGCCCCAGCTAGTTCACAGCCTTTTTAAGTAAGCAGACAAACTACCGATATTGGGAGGCTGGGCATTCGACCCCTCCCCCCGAAGAGCGAGGCCAGAAACAACGAGCCACAAACAGCACTTTGCTCTCGGCAAGGTGCGGAGTAGGAGGGGGAGGAGGAGGGGGAGGAGGAGGAGAAGGAGGAGGAGGAGAGAAGGAGAGGAGGAGGGAGGAGGGGGAGGGAGGGGGGGACGAGGGGGAGGGAGGAGGAGGAGGAGGAGGAAGGAGGAGGAGGAGGAGGAGGAGGAGGAAGAGAGAGGAGTAGGAGGAGAGGGAGGAGGAGGAGGAGAGGAGGAGGAGGTGGGGGGGAGGGATAAAGTAGGAGAAGGCGCAGGAACAAAACCAGGAACAGAAGCAGGAGCAGCAGAAGGAGAAGGAGGAGGGGGAGGAGAAGGAGGAGCAGGAGCAGGAACAGCAGGAGAATGAGCAGGAGAAGGAACAGGAGCAGGAGCAGGATGATCATGATGTTGCTGATGATGATGATGATGATGATGATGATGATGATGATGATGATGATGATGATGATGATGATGATGATGCTGATGCTGATGCTGAGGCTGATGCTGATGCTGGTGATGATGATGCTGATGCTGCTGATGATGATGATGATGATGCTGATGCTGATGACCATGATCATGATGAGGATGATGCTGATGGTGATGAGGATGATGATGGTGATGATGATGATGAGGATGATGATGATGATCATGATGATGCTGATGGTGGTGATGATGATGATGACGATGCTGCTGCTGATGATGATGATGATGCTGATGCTGATGATGATGATGATGATGCTGATGCTGATGCTGATGCTGATGATGATGATGATGATGATGATGATGATGATGATGATGGTGATGGTGATGGTGATGGTGATGGTGATGATGATGATGATGATGATGATGATGATGATGATGATGAGGAGGAGGAGGAGGAGGAGGAGGAGGAGGAGGAGGAAAAGAGGAGGAACAGCAAAGAGGAGGAAAAGAGGAGGATAAGAGGTGGAGGAGGAGGAGGAGAAGAAAGAGGAGGAGCAGGAGCAGGAGCAAAAACAGGAGCAGGAGGAGGAGGAGGAGGAGGAGGAGGACAAGGAGGAGGAACAGCAGCAGGAGGAGAAGAAGGAAGAGGGGGAGTGGCAGGGGCTGGGGCAGAGGGATGGGGAGGGAGAGGGTGAGGAGGAGAGGAGGGGGAGGAATAGGAGCAGCAGGAGCAGGAGTGAGGAGGAGGAGGAGGAGGAGGAGGAGGAGGAGGAGGACGAGGAGGGCGAGGATGGCGATGCAAGCTCGGCACGGGTATAGCCGGCAGAGCCGCTGCTATTCGGACACGCGCCTGGACCTTCTGGGCAGGATTGACACCTGGGCGACAGCAGGGATCAACCAGCCAATCATACTTGCCATGACCGTAGGCTCCTCCTGGCGTCCATCCTGGCCAGGTTTTTTGGGCGTCGCGTAATGGGGGTGCGATCAATGGGTGGGCAGCGAGGAGTACAGAAAAATTGTCTTTTCAGGGCAAAGGGGCCCTTTGGGGCCCTTTGAGGCTCAGAAGGCGGGTTTCGGGGCTCGAGAAGTGCACCTTTCCCCCTCCCCGGTCATCGCACCCCCATATAAGTTCACGCCCGATTTTTGGAAACGCGTCCAGCCGTGGCGACGATAGCCTTTGGAAGTTGCCAATTATCCCCGTGACGACGACGGGCGACGACGACCGACGGCGACGACGACTTGGATGCCGTCTTTGAATCGCTGGCCACGCGGGGAGGGCGTCGTCGGAGAAACCGACCCGCCTCGGAGAGGACGTCCTGGGCCCGGAGCACCCGGACACCCTCGCGGCCGCCGACGAGCTCGCCAAGGCACCCGCTGGAGAGGGCGCGGCGTTCGGAGGGCGTCTCTGGGGTCTCCCCGGGGGGACGTGGTGGCAATGCTTGAGAGGCTGTACTCGAGGGAAGGGAGAGGGGGAGCAGTTCTCGAGGGAGAGGGGATCGAGAGGGGAATCTTTCCCCTGGATGCCTCCAGAGACCTCCAGGGGGTGGCTTTCCCGGAGCGGGATCTATTTACATACATGTATATATATATATATATATATATATAGATATACAGCTATTTATGAATGTGTGTGTGCTTGTGTGTGTGGGCGCGGGCCTGATTTCGCGACGTCGGCGTTGCTCGCAAGGGTGAGCGGGGAACGTGGAAAGCTTTGTGACCCTTCTGGTGCCCCGGTTCTGGTCAAAGTTGGCGCGTGTTCCCCCGAAACGCGGACCACAGCATCCCCCATGTGATGCCCCCCTCTCCCCCAAAAAGGTCTTGGTGGGGCTCCTCCTCCTCCTCCTTCTCCTCTTCCTCCTCCTCCGTCCCCCTCCCCCTCCTCCTCCTCCTCCCCTCCTCCTCCTCCTCCTCCTCCTCCTCCTCCTCCTCCCCCTCCTCTCCGTCCCCCTCCTCCTCCTCCTCCTTCTCCTCCTCTTCCCTCCCTCCTCCTCCTCCTCCTCCTCCTCCTCTAATCCTCCTCCTCCTCCTCCTCCTCCTCCTCCTCCTCCTCCGTCCCCCTTCTCCTCCTCCTCTTCCCTCCTCCTCCTCCTCCTTCTCCTCCCCCTTCTCCTCCTCCTCCCTCTTTCCCTTCCTCTTCCCGCTCTCCTCTCTGAATGTGCCTGTGTAGCCGTTCTGGCTTAGACATGCGAGTGTGCGAGCACACTCTCGCCCGTGATGTTCCCAAAGCACTTCTCGTGTCCGTCAGCCTAAATCCCATATGTCGTCCGATGCTGAGACAGTGGTAAGCGGAGCTCTCAGAGATGGGAGGCGAGCTGTTTCAGATGGGCGCGGCGCGACGCTTAGCCCGAGGAAGACCTCGGCTGACGCAGAAGGGGTGGAGTGCCCTGTCGGCGTGGCCCGCCCGAGGTGGATCGCAGCTTCGGGCGGGGAACAAAAACTCTCTTCGGATGGGCACCCCACTCCAATGTTCTTTTTCTCTCCCCTGGTCTCTTCCCTTTATTGGCGTCGAACCTCGTCGTCGTCCTCCTCTTCCTCCTCCTCCTCCTCCTCCTCGCCGCCTCCTCCTTCTCCTCCTCCTTCTTCTTCTTCTCCGCAACCTCCTCCTCCTTCTCCTCCTCCTCCTCCTCCTCCTCCTCTTCCCTCACTGCAGGGGCGTGAGGCTGCCTGTCACACTACGGAGGATGGCCCCTGGCTTCACTGCTGCCTTCGCGCAAGTGCGCGTGTTCCGTTCGAGTGCGATCCCACATTCAGGCCTGGATTGCGCGCCGCGAAGGCCTCACACTTGAAGTATGTCAGAACACGGCTCCGTTTCCACCAACTGCTACACTGTGGGCGAAGTCGCCGCGGCCTGGAGTTTCAACTGTTCGACCCCTCCGACGCCGTCCCGATCGCCGCAGGGGGGCCCTCCACGCAGCCGAGCTGCCGCTCGGGCGCGAGAGAGACGAAAGCGGCGGTAAGGCTATCTAGTCACCTGCATTCCGACGCTGAGCCTCCACCTCCTCCTCCCCATTGCCCCTCTTCTTCTTGGTTTTATTATTATCATTATTGTTATCTTCTTCCTCCTCCTCCTCCTCCTCCTCCTCCTCCTCTCCTCCTCCTCCTCCTCCTCCTCCTCCTCCTCCTCCTCCTCCTCCTCCTCCTCCCCCTCCTCCTCCTCCTCCTCCTCCTCCTCCCTCCTCCTCCTCCTCCTCCTCGTCCTCCTCCTCCTCCTCCTCCTCCTCTTTCGCCTCCTCCTCCTCCTCCTCCTCCTCCTCCTCATCATCCTCATCTACCTTTTGTGTTCTGCAGCATGTCCCAAAAACGTCCCCTCCTCCGCCTACAGTCGGGCCGAGGTATAAGATCGAGGTCGGTTCGGGGAGGGTCCCCTAATGTTCTCCGTGCTTGTTGGGTTTTCTTGTGTATCCTGGGGAGGGTACCCTGGGATGTTCTGTGTGTTTTGGCCAGCACAGGGTCGCATGTTCCTGGAAGGATGCTCTCCTGTTCTGGGTCCAACCGTACCTCCTCCATCCCTTCGAGGTGCTCGTGGCTCTCGGCCAGACCGGGGAGGCGGCGGCGCTGGCGACATACGCCTTCAAGGGCGCCCCGGGCCGGCCACTCTTGACAGCGCGGGGGGAACAAGGCCAGGCAATGCCGAGGGGCGGTCGGAAGGGAACTATAGGGTTGGACGAAACGGGGGGAGTGGGGGGGGAATAGGGCGAGGGGAGGGAATAGGGCGAGGGGGGAGGGGGGACTAGGGCGAGGGGGGGAATAGGGCGAAGGGGGAGGGGGGAATAGGGCGAGCGGGGGGAATAGGGCGAGGGGGGAGGGGAGGGGGGGAGGAATAGGGAATAGGGCGAGGGGGGGGCACGAAATCTGCTACATGCAGCTGGTTTCGGCCTCGCCGCTGGGCGCATTCACTCCCCGATGCTCTGTCACCTCCGGCGCCAGGAGGCGCCGGAGAAGTCAGCTGCGTGAGCCGATTCGCTACCCCCCTTTTGCTATGTCCCCCCCCCCCTTTCGTCCGACCCAGAAGGGGAGGTCACCGCCAGGGCGGTCGCCATCCCTTCCTGAGGATAGGGTATCGAGGAGGTTTTGTTGAGCGATTTTTGGGTGTGCGGGAAGGCTCCCGAGGGCTGCGGGGGCAGTCCCGAGGGGTCACGAGCTTCTGGAGGAGGTGCCGACCTCCCCCGTAGTGGTGACCCCCCTTGGCATTGCCTGGGCGCGGGCCCGAGAGTTCCGGGCGTCGTAGAAATAGATAGTCCAGAAACGACGATCGGGGGATCCCAAACGGTGTGGTGACCACACCGCGTGGTGAGTCAGTGGGGATTCGGGGTCACCGCACGGTTTTGGGACTCGGGTCGTTGTCAGAGGACGCCTCGGGCGATTGGGGCCTTCGACCCCCAAACCGTGCGATGACGGACCGCGTGGTGAGGTCGATGGGGTTCCGAGGCCACCGCGCGGTCCGTCACCACGCGGTTTGGGGGCCCCGAAGCCGAGCAGCCGTCTGTTCCAAGTTTCGACCCTCTTCGCCGAAGAGGGTCCGATGGCGTCACGCCCCCAAGTTAATTGGGGGGGTGGCGCCCTCGAGCCCCGGGTAACCGCAGGCAGCGAACGGCGGAGCACGAGCTCGTGGGGCCAGCGTCGCGAAGCGGGTGCGGGGGAAGACGACGTCGGGCGTCGGCCCGAGGAACCTCTCCAGACGTCGGATGTCTGGACGTCTGGAGGGGAAGAAGAGGCACCGGCAGCGGCCGGAAGATGAGGAGGGGGGGGCGCAGCGGCAGCAGGCGGACGACGAGCAGAGGCACGAGCAGCAGCAGCAGCAGCAGCAGCAGCAGCAGCAGCAGCAGCAGCAGCAGCAGCAGCAGCAGCAGTCGGACGGGGACCAGGTGGAAGGGGGCGGAGGGGAGGAGGAGAAGGAAGAGGAGGCGGAGGAGGAGGAGGAGGAGGAGGATAAGGAGGAGGACGAGGAGGAGGAGGAGGGGGTGGAGGAGGAGGAGGAGGAGGAGGAGGAGGAGGAGGAGAGGGAGAAGGGGAAGGAGGAGGAGGAGGAGGAGGAGGAGGAGGAGGAGAAGGAGGAGGAGGAAGAGGAGGAGGAGAAGAAGAAGAAGGAGGTGCACGAGAAGGAGGAATGATAATGATAATGAGAATGAGGAGGATGATGCTGATGATACCTGTGATAATATGATGAGGAGGAGGAGGAGGATGAGGATGATGATGCTGATGCTGATGCTGCTGATGATGAGGATGAGGATGAGGATGAGGCTGAGGATGAGGATGAGGATGAGGATGAGGATGATGAGGATGCTGATGCTGATGCTGATGATGATGATGATGATGATGATGGTGCTGGTGATGGTGATGGTGATGATGAAGGTGGTGGTGTGAGTAGTGATTCTGAAGACGACGATGATGGTAGAAGTGGTGATGATGATGAGACTGATGATGAAGCTGATAATCATGATGATGGTGATGATGATGATGATGATGATGATGATGATCATGCTGATGATGGTGACAACGCTGCTGATGGTGATGATGGTGATGCTGATGATGCTGATGATGATGGTGATGGTAATGATGATGATGCTGATAATGATGATGCTAATGATAATGGTGATGATGATGGTGCTCATGTTGAGGATGATGGTGCTGTTGCTGATGATGATGATGATGATGATGATGATGGTGATGGTGATGGTGCTGGTGATGATGGGGGTGGTGATGCATGATCTGAGGATGATGCTGATGACAGCTATGATGATGCTGATGGTGATGATGATGATGATGGTGACGGTGAGGATGATGACGATGGTGATGGTGGTAGCAGTAAGGATGACGATGATGATTATGGTAGTGATGATGGTGATGATAGTGATGATGATGTTGTTGTAGTTTATGGTATGGATGGTGATGTTGACGACGGTGACGATGATGATGCTGATGCTGATGTTGATGGTGATGATGATGCTGCTGCTGATGGTGGTGATGACGATGCTGATGATGCTGATGATGCCGATGATGCTGATGATGGTGATGATGATGATGATGATGATGATGCTGGTCGTGGTGGTGGTGGGCGTGATGATGATGCAAATGATGATGCTGATGGTGAGGATGCTGATAATGATGATGTTGCTGATGATGATGCTGATGATTGTGATGGCGATGATGATGCTGCTGATGGTGATGCTAATGACAGCCATGATGATGATGATGATGATGATGATGATGATGATGATGATGATGATGATGATGATGATGATGATGATGATGCTGCTGCTGCTGCTGCTGCTGATGCTGATGCTGATGATGATGCTGATGCTGATGCTGATGCTGATGCTGATGCTGATGCTGATGACGACGAGGTGGAGGAAGAGGAGGAGGAGGAGGAGAAGGAGGACGACGAGGATTATGACGAGGAGAATGACGAGGAGGAGGAGGAGGACGAGGAGGAGGAGCAGCAGGAGGAGGAGGAGGAGGAGGATCATCTTCAGCATCCAAGAGATGAGGAGCTCACGCTGTTAAATCAGTCGGGTACGTTAGAAAACTGCATGTCATGCTGGATCTGTTCGAACGTGTGGCCTTTCACTTATTTATCAGGGTGAGAAGGCCGAACGGTCAATCACTGTCCCTGGGAGCGTGGCTGAAATGGGGATCCACGGCGAGGATTATGCTTGTTGTTTAGTTGCGTCGTCCCCACCGAGACCTGCCCGCGACCCACCGGCGACCCACCCGCGACCCCACCCGCGACCCACCCGCGACCCACCCGCGGTCTACCCCGCGACCCACTTGCGACCCACCCCGCGACCTACCCGCGACCCACCCGCGATCCACCCGCCCGCGACCCACCCGCCCGCGACCCACCCCGCGACCCAGCCCGCGACCCACCCGCGTCCCACCCCGCGACCCACCCGCGACCCACCCGCGACCCACCCCGCGATCCACCCGCGACCCACCCCGCGGCCCACCCGCGACACACCCGCGACCCACCGCGACCCACCCCGCGACCCACCTGCGACCCAACCGCGACCCACCCGCGACCCACCCGCCCGCGACCCACCCGCCCGCGACCCACCCCGCGACCCCCCCGCGACCACCTGCGACTCACCCGCGTCCCACCCCGCGACCCACCCGCGACCCACCCCGCGCCCCACCCGCGACCCACCTTCACCGCGACCCACCCGCGACCCACACCATGTTGATTCTAGAACAGCCCAAACAAAACGGCGCCTGCGCCAGGCTTCATTGCATTTGTTTAGTGGAGTGCCACCACCGCGCGACCCACCCGCCGACCCTCTCGCGACCCACCCCGCGCCCGCGACCCAGCCCGCGACCCACCCGCGACCCACCTGCGACCGACCCGTGACCCACCCCACGACTCACACCATGTTGATTCTATCACAGCCAAAAAAGAACAGGCGTCTGCGCCGGGCTTCACTGCACTGGTTTAGGGGAGTGCCACCACCGCGCGACCCACCCGCCGACCCACTTGCGACCCACCCCGCGACTCACCGCGACCCACCTGCGACCCACCCGCGACCCACACCACGTACATCAGAGTGAGGGGGCCGAACGGTCATTCACTGTCCCTGGGTGCGTGGCTAAAGTGGGACTCTGCAGCTGGGATTATGCTTGTTGTTGTCGCTGTTGTTGTTGAACTCTCACTTCTGAAGAATAATTATTGCTGATCCCCCCTCACCGGTGCATATGGTTTTTTCGCAGTAAAAGTGTGGCACTCGACGGTCGCACCCTGTTTTTTGACAGGGAAAGTCTTCGTGGTCAAACTGCGCCCCTGGCCCCTCGGACTACAACAACATCGGCTCCCGCCTGAGACTTCCTCCAAATTTGCTCAGGGCCCCCCCCTCCCGTCTGAGACGTCCTCCCAATTTACTTAGGAACGGCGCTCCCGCTTGAGACTTCCTCACAATTTAGCCTGGGTCAAACTGCGTTGCTGCTCCCCGGGACTACAACCACAACGGCTCCCGCTTAAGACTTCCTCCTGAGGCTTCCTCCCAATTTATTCAGGATCGGCGATCCCGCCTGTGACTTCCTCGCAATTTAGGCAGAACCCCCCCTCCCGTCTCAGGCTTCTTCGCAATTGACTCAAGAACGGCGCTCCCGCTTAAGATTTCCTTGCGCTTTAGTTTAGACCCCCGCTCCCGCCAAACATCCCCTTTTCAGGAATTGCGCTCTCCTGTGTTGGAATGGCTGGCGCAAGCCATAGCGCAAGCTGAATCGCAACTCACGGTACAAATCATCGTCGTCCCTCCTTCTTGCCCCTCTAATCCCTCCCTTCCTCCGATCCCTTCGTCCTCTCTTTTTGTCGTTTCCCTCTCGTTTCCCTGTTTAGGGGCTTCTCCAATTACATGTGGCCGGGAAAGAATATAACCCCCAAAAGAGGGTACGATCGAAGACGAAGAGGGTGGGTATCCAGGGTTTGGGATATGCATGGTGAATGACACGCGGGCCGGTAGGAGCGAACAGTCTTGGAATTGTTGTTGTTGTTGTTGTTGTTGTTGTTGTTGTTGTTGTTGTTGTTGAATTTTCACTACTGAAGAACAATTATTGTTGATCCCCCCTCCGGTGCACGTCGTATTT